TGAGACCCAGGGGGATTTCAGAGAACCCAAGGTCCAGTGTCACAGAGGTCACTGCAGTCAGTTATACACGTATGACATTTGGAAAGTTGCCATCTAGCAGTATATCCCTGGGGGTGGAAATGAGCTCACAGAATTTATAAACTTCTACAAGAAGAGGCAAAACTTTTGTCTTGCTGTAGCAGAGTCTTCTCCATCATATGTGTCCCCATGCTAGGTGCCTCTACAGATCACACCAGCCTGGTACCCTTGGCCCAGGATGTTGCTCCAGAAAGGTAACACCAAGGGTCTGCATGTACGAAAAAACATTCTTAGAAAGAAGTGGTGACTTTCCTGCCTGAAGTCTCCTTAGTTTGAATGTAGCCCACATAGAAAAGATGAGGGGCTTGCCTTTACACAATAATTTGCATTTGTAGGGGTTTTTTAATTAACCAAACTTCTTAGCAATTTCTTAAATCTATTTATGTAAAAATTACAATATTTCATTAAGTGTTTCCCACTTTACATGGCATATGAACAAAATTGTGTCCCTGGTGAGTAAAATCCTATTCTGAGAGCAGTAAAAGCACACAGACATATCCCTGTCAGAGAAGCACTGATTTACAAGGCATGGATCAGTGGATCTGCTCTGACAGATTACGTATTTTGTTTCTTTATTAACTGTGCATAATTTTTACATTCTGTTCAAGTTAGCTTATGACAGATAACTACTTTTTAAAATCAGATCTCAAGGCAAAGAAATGTCAGTGTGAAAGAATAAAGACATTTAGTATGCATTTATTGCATAAATAAATACTCAAGCTTCTCAAAAGTGTTGAAGTAAATGACACATCTACTTAAATTGGTGAATTCATGGTGAGGAGCTTTAAACAGACATACTTTTGAAGTAAAAATACCACAAAGTATTAGACATTTCATGAAGTTGAGTTAAAATAGTATTAGAAAAATTATTACTCTTGCATTTTTATTACATATTGAGCTGGATCTGTCTTCCTCTGAAGTCACCAGGAATATTAACATCAATTTAATTAACTTGAAGCAAGATTTAGCCTGGGAGAATTATTTTAACATGAGTAAAGGAGAAAATGAAGTCTGAAATTCAGCTTTTACAGCAAGGCACTGAACTCAGATCCACAGAGATATTTAGATACCAATCTCCCACTGGACAAGAAATAGACAGGTAAATATATTTAAGAACCTGGAAATCATTAGCTCTGATCCATTTGGACACAAGAAGTATTCACTGTTTTCCTGAGTAGCAAGTAGAGCAATGTGGGAAAACATCAGTGTAAATCAGTATTATAAGAAAAGGCAGCTCACCCTCTGCAATGATGAAGGCTGCATTAATTTTCCAAAACTCATTATGAACCATGGGAACTAATGTCTACCAACTGGCAGCTATGTGCAACTCAGTGTTCAAATTTGGACTTTACATACAACTTCTAAAAACCATCTCCTCCAAAGCACAGACTGGCTGGCTGGAATTACTGTGCAGGAGAGAGCCAGCCAAGGTCCCACCAGCTGAAACACCTTGTTTAAGCCACAGGTGACATTCTGATCTCAGTTACACCAGAGTTAATCAGAGGCACAGAGATGCTTATAGGTCAGAATCCAGCTCATTGTAGGTGTAAAGACTGTGTTTGCTCACTGAAGTGTCTCAGATTTCTAACTGTGGTATTTCCAGAACAGTTTTCAATTACCACTTTATTTTGAGTGTGTTCTATAGAGATCTGTGCATGCCAAGGTGATGAAGAATTTTTTTTTCAGGAAAATATGCTAACTGATTGAAGGGAACTTGTTTTTTCCACTCTTTTTTAATCCTGTTTTCTAAAAATGAGGTTGTGCCAAACCAAAGTTCAATGTCTCACTTAGTGCCTTCTTTGATCTCCAGTACAACTTGTTCAAACTCATAATCATGGCATAACTTAGGTTTTATTCCCTGCTGTATATTTTACAAGTCTTCCATTATTTACAGTTTTTTTAAAGACACAATCTGAAAGATAACCTTATTTCAAATTAATTTTGTCATATATGGTGTTTATGAGGGTACCAGAGGATTCTGTTCTCACAGGAGTTCCTTGCCCACATAATTGCCTCCCACCAGAACCATGAGAGGAAATTGTCCTTGAGATTCTCAAATGTTATCCCAAATGGAGTCTGAGGTTCCAACTCAATTGCTGCAGAATAGAGCTCACAGTGTGTCTAAAGCCTGCAGAGTACCAGGAACTCATGGTACTGAGCCTTAGAGAGTTTTGAAAAGGCCACAGCAAATTCATGCTTACTTGACTCCCCAGCTCAGTACCATGCCAGTGGAACTTTGTGGATGTTGCCATCTTTGTATCTCAGAAAATTAATTAGAAATAAGTATGCTTCAGATGAAGTATGTCTTCATATGTGTGTCATAAGTATAACTTCAGATGAAGTCCTATTTCCTAAAGCCTTCATAAATAGATGAAAGTCTCACTGTAGCTCTGCTGCAAATATTTTTCAAGATTTTAGTGTTTGTGAGATGACCTGAATTCCAAAATTGAGGGTGATCCTGGCAAGCTTAGTGGCAAACCTCACATATGCAGCTTTGTATTACCCTCTGATGATTCCACAGACACTGCTGAAGAGCAAATGCTTTAAGAGATGATGAAATTTAAAAAAAACAAAAAAACCAACAGCAATTAAAGTCCAGTCTTCCACACGAGTAGTCAGTCCATGCTCTGAAGATGTCAGCATAGCTAGCAGAATGCACATTATCCCTAGCAAAACATCTGAGCATTTCAGTCACACTGAGGAGAAGTTTCTGCATCCAAACTTCATTTTAGGTTGCTAGAATCCAGCTGTGACACAGTTTTGTTTAGGATAGTCAAAGCACAGTGGTGCAGAATATGGATGAGATGCTGTGCCAAAGAATAGATTAATAACAAAATACACCCAGAAGACAACAAAGCAGTGAAACACCATTATTTTAAAGTAAAAGAAATACATATACAGATTCTGTCAAACTATGGAGCTAATATAAAATTTCACTAATATAAAAACCCAATAACTCTGCTACAACTTGGAGGAAGTCATCAGAACTCCTTGTGAAATAGGTATGGCAGAGTGGCATCTGGATAAGGGTAAAGGTACAATCCTTAAAAAACATGGTTTCACCACAAGCACAGACAGAGACCAAAGAATTTATGAATCTTGCATTAAAAAAAAAGATCTTCTAACCTGCATATTTAGCTTTTTAATTTTTACATATTCTAGTCATCCTTGCTAGCTTGTTCTTGAAGAATATAAAAAAGTTTTTCTTTTGAATGTAATATTCGTAATTCACAAAAGAAAAAAAGGTAGCTGTGAATGAGTGTGTGATATAATTACAATGATTTGGGAGTTCTTTAGTGGTAATAACCATCCTCAGTAAATACACTTGGAAAAAGGGTATTAAAAATTCTTAACAGAGGTGCAACTGCCTTCAACAAAACATTTTTTTTCCTCAGGTGGTAATATACAAATATATAATGTATAAATGAGCTAAAGATGCACAATGTGTATTGTTAAGTCTTATATCTTTAACCACAGTTATTACATTGATAGCTTGTAAACCTTTGCCCAGGTTTAATTTATCCACTTTTTGTTAGTTTAAAAAGCAAGACACTGGCAAAACAAGAATTACACAAAGATGCTAAGGATGGGATTCAGTTACCTGCTTAGAAACTTCTAATGCCATCTTAGGCAGTCCAGGGACTACCTGGGGATCATCTCTGTTGCCAGCTGCCACCCCAGAATGGCACTACTCTTCTCTAAGTCCTATTTTCTACCTGCCAGCCCAGTATGGCTGTCTGAGATATCCTGGGGCACTGAAAATAGTAAAGGTTGCTTACATTTAAATTAATTCATCCCACGCTGACTATTTATGCTCAGCCATACACACACTCTGTCCAAGCTAACCCCAGAGAAGGCTGTGCTGAGGAGGGAAGGATGGAGACACCCAAGGCAGCCCATCTGGCCCAGCTCTGGGCCTGAAACAACACAGCCCACCCAAAATGCTGTATCATCCCACAGCCCCACTGTGCTACAGCAATTTATTAGTCGGGTCTTTTGGGTCTTTGACAGCTCAAGGATCTTGCATGATGTTATGTTACATATTGTGGAAAATGAAGAGTTAGGAGAAACAGGAAATTTTTTTATTCCATGCTGCATTCCGTCTGTATAATGAGGGAACACCTCTCAGATATAGGTGGCTGGGAAGACCGAGAAAGAAATCAATATTTGTGGCTAGGAAGTATGTCCCAGTAAAATGAACACTAATCACTAATCAGCTCTCTTTGCTTCTAGACGACATACTGGGATTTTTTAGTTTGGGTGTTTGTTTTTTTAAAATCTCACCTTCCTTCATTCTCTGATAACTACTAACAGAACAGAGCATGATTTTCCTTTTCTACTTTCCTTTCATAGCCATTTCAGATCTTATCTCTTGGAAAGATGCTGCCCATCACAGATTGCAATCTGCCTTGTACAGTTCTCAGTTATGTTTAAATCTTCTTTCATCCTTCAAAGGCTGGCTGAAAGAAGTGTCAGGTCATTATTTCAGGCTGTAGCTTAATACTTAGGCTTACCAGTGTATGATCTCTCTCTTTGGTAAAGACCTTCATTCACTGAAGGTCAAGGTATTAGTGTTATTTTTAAATATATTCCCAGCATTGAAGAGTTAAAAATAGCCTTCTACGAAAACACACAGTAATTGGTTAAACCTTGTTAGCAATCACATGAAGATGATAACTCCTCCCAGGAAAAGACATAGCCAAAGCAGCTTTGACATGGATTTATACTTAGAAGAGCAGCTGGAGGTCTACTGAGAAGGAGTTCACAATATAGACTCTTGGATTATTAGCAGAAAATAGCAGCTTGATGCTGGAAAGGAAGGGAAGGAGACATGAGAAAAAATTTTACTCATGGTGATCTGCAAATGAATTCCATGGATTCTCTACCTTGGAACAATCACCATTAGAAAGAAAGCCTAAAAGATGGATCTGGGAAAGGCAAAGCTGCTAAGAACTGGACTCAATGCTTTATATCAAGCCATCCACCCGGTGCATGGAATTGCCTGGACAGATGGGAAGCAAGTGATACTGACTGCTCTATACTATCAAAATGGAGAGCTGAAGTTTGGAGACTCAAACATTGTTGGTCAATTTGAACATGTACATGGACTTTATTGGGGCCCGTGTTGCTCTACAGACACCCCAGCTCTGCTTGCTATTCAGCACAAAAAGCACGTAAGCATTTGGCAGCTGGTCTACAGCAGTGCAGAGAAGAAAAAGCCCTTGATTTCTCAGACTTGTGAAGTTGGTGAGCCATTTCCACTGCTTTCTCAGGGCTGTGTCTGGCATCCAAAGAAGGAGGTCTTGGCTGTGCTTACAAAACGAGATGCTTCAGTCTTGCATGCCGTTCGTACTGACAATACGCGGGTTAAGGCAGAGATCAAAAGCAGCGGAGTCATCCACTGTGCTTGCTGGACTAAGGATGGTAATCGTTTAGTCGTTGCTATAGGCAGTGCCCTGCACTCCTACATATGGGATAATGCTCAGAAAACTCTAAGTATCTGCTCCTTTTGCCCAGTTTTTGATGTGGGAGGTTATATCTGCGCTATAGAAGCTACTCTGGATTTCCAAATTGCAGTAGCTACTGAGCTTCCTTTAGATAATATCTGTGGTTTCAATGCAGGCATTGCATTTGATGTGCCCTCTGGTACAGAAGCTGGTTCTTTAATCTCACAGTCTGCTTTGGTGCTTGGTGATGAGGAATACTCCATGGACACACGAAGAAAGTCCATAGATTCAGATAGATCAGGTGTTGATTCAGTTGCTTCTTCTTCATCAGGTCCTGTGGATTTGACCCATATCCTTGCAAACCGCCGTCGGTCTGATCCCAGTCCTCTCCTTACTCTGAAACACAAAGACTCTGCAGCAACAAATGGTCAAGATTCTTCTCACTTGATCTTGGTGACATTTGAGAGGAAGGTAACGACCACCAGAAAAGTCACCATCCCAGGTATTCTGGTTCCTGATATAATGGCTTTTGACCTTAGAGCTCAGATTGTGGCAGTAGCCTCTAACACTACTAATATTGTTCTGGTATATTCAGTAACCTCTTCCTGCATGCCTCACATTCAACAAATCCAGCTGGAAAAAAATGAAAGACCAAAGGGCCTATGCTTTTTAACAGATAAACTCTTATTGATTCTGATTGGCAAGCAGAGGTTCCCCGAGCCTAATCTCATTCCATCTTCAAGTTCAGACAGGTATGTAATGCGTCTTATGGTCAAAGAATTGATGCTGGAAGAAAACTCTTCGGCATTGCCTGAGACTAAGCAGAATGTGCTTTATAACTTTGAATCCTCTGTTAATATACCTGGAAAAAGAAAATTCTTTGAGAATCTTGCCACAGAAGACCAACCTCAAATCAGGGAGTTGTTAATACCAAGAAGCACAGTTATTCAGTCTCCAAGTGGCAGGAGAAGACTCATTGAAGAAGTAAAGAGCCCTAGTTATGAGCAGAGCTCTTCATCAAGTGTGAGTGACCTGGATGAAAAAAGGCTCCCAGGTGACTCCTCGGTGGCCTTGGAAGCACTGGATGCTGAACCTATGAATCGCTCAGTGTCTCTTCGTGGTTTTGGATCACCCAGCAGGATTTCCAGCAGACCAACATCCCCTAAAGTGCAGTTCAGTGTGATCCAAGAAACATCGAATTCTCCTAAAAACAACAATTTGCCAAGTGAAAGGGGAATGAGTCACATATCTAGAAATTTAGAGAGACTTTGTGGCAGTTTCAACGAGCTGCAGCTGAGTCTTTCTGAAATCACGGACTTTGCTAGGAATGGGAGGAGGATATCCTTCGCCTACCCATGCTCCCAGGAACCCCCTGTCGTGCATGTCACTTACCAGGTAACATTCTGTCAGCTTAGAAATACTGTGATGGGAACCGAATATTTAAACCATCTTGCATTCATTTAGCTTGAAATCAAGAGGATGCAGTTTATTCTTATCAACCCATAAGAAATGTAACCTAGGTTTGGCATCAAGCATAATCTAAAATGTCATTGGAAAAATAACTCAGGATGATGTGGGTACTTTAGAGGATACTTAACTTTAGAGGTTACTTAAATATGGGAGATTTGTCTGTTTGTTCTTTGATGATGCACAATAGTATTGCACACTGCCTGATTTTGTGTGCATCTGTCAGAGAAAACAGAGCCAGAGTTGTTAATCTACAAAAGGCTTATATTTTAGTTTAGTCCAGAGATAAGATGATGAATGGTGGGGCTACAGTAGCTCACCAGAAATGTAACAAATTTAAACCTCAATCCATAGTCTTAGTTAAAGCTCAAATCCATAGTCTGAAGATAGCCAGACTCACAGGAAGACTGAAACAAAGTATTGAATCTCAATTTATGGAAAATTTAAATGGACATGACATGAATTTCGATTATTTCTGCTTTGATTTCTCAACACTATTCTTCAAAATATTCATTATTCAAAATAAGATGCACTCAATTTGTAAAACACATAACTACTTAAAATTTTCTGAAAAAAAAACTTCAAACAAACAAAAACCTTCTAACTCATCAATATGTAATTATGATTTCATTAAGTAAATATAAGAATTTCAAACCATCATGTTTCTATCTACCCTTGTTTAGGCAAATTTCCTCCTGGCTTCAATAAGAATTTCAACTTAGGAATGGAGGTTAGGTAATTATTTCTATCTCCTATTTTTAATATTATTCACAGGAATATATAATAATAACAACATTATACTGATCAGATTTTTGAACATGCTGATGGTAGTGAAAAAATTGGTGTCCCTTTCAGGATGTAGATGCCAATTATAAATGCATTCTTATCTACTGCAACATAAGCAGCATTATGTCAAAATAATACACTGCATTGTGATGATGCTGAAGCAAATTTTACTTCTTTTAACTCTAAAGGAATCCATATAGACTTCTAAGTACCCCTCCTTAAATACTCATTAAGGGAATGGTGACTCGATTCAATCATGGTCATTACTTTCTAGCAATTGTTTACTTGGCATTTAAACAGATTCTGGTGTGTTGGATTCTCTGGAAAAAAGCAAAGCTTTCAATCTGAATTAGTCAATAATTTAACTTGAACACATTATACAAATTCTGGTGAAAAAGCAGCATGTCTATTTTAAATAATTTAGGATTTTATTGGCCAAGAAGCAAGCCCTTCTGTTCTCCAGAATGTTCAAATTAATTTTGATTTCTTAACATAAATCAACTTATTTATTTAGCAAGCAGCCCTATTTCTAAGATTCAATTGGATTAACCTTTCCCAAGAGAAGTTTTATTTGTGACATGTAACATTAATCTAAGATCTGAAGTTGCTGTGCACGTGCTTGCACAAGAAGTAAGAATTAGTTAACCTGTTATTTTTCTTTGGAAAGAACAACAAAAATATTAAGTGCTTCTAAAATACTGCTATAAAAATTTGTTTAGAAAGGAATACTTATTTATCTGAACAGGTTAGTTGCACATTAAGCCAGCAGCAAGCACTGCTAGCACCGCATTACAATGACTCAGAAAAGGTGCCACTAATGCCTCCCACACACAGCTTTGCTGGGGAAGTCTCGACTAATGCCTTGTACAGTTCAGCTCCTCTTCTGAAATCTAACAGGGTCATAGCATGATGCCAAAAAATAATGAAAAATAAACTTGGCAGAAAGGTCTACAGACAGACAGGGAAATATTTGCTTCATAGGCAGCTAATAATTTTCAGAGAAATTGTTGTTTTGATTAGTTTATATCCAGACATCTGAACCTTGTTCCTCCTTCAGGAGTTGTTTAGTGCACTGTGAGCTCAGAGACCAGCTGGGCTGTGGGTTCCAGCCAGACTCTGTGATCACAGAGCAAAAAGTCAGGAAATAGCTTTATTGCCTTATGATATAAATATCAGCCAGTGGAAAACATTCTAAGCTTTAGGAACACTGCAGTCCAGTCAATAATATGGCCATTATCTTCCAGTTCTTTGTGCTAAGTGCATGTCCTCTTAAGTGTCTCTATAATCCCCAGCACAGCAGAAGCTCAGTCTTGATTGAGAAATCTATTGTACTAAAGAGTATAATGATCAGAACTGCATAACCATATTTATGCATTTAAAAAATAAAATGAAAGTTTAAAACATAACAGATAAAAATGCAGCAATAATTAACGAGCAGTTATGAACACTTGTGCAGAAGCGTTATTGACATATTTATGTGTACTTTATGTTCTGCTTGGAAAACTAAAAAACCCAAAACATTTCTTACTTAATAATTCATAATGTCTGCTCATTTAAAAGCCTTCAAAACCTTTGTTTATCCTGTTAGTGCAAGCCTGCCTCTAACTCCTCTGAAGTCACATCTATGCAGTGCTACCAGAATTTGTATTCTTTCTATCCTATAGCCATAGAAGAAAACCACAATCATTCACACTTTGGAAATGTCACTGCACTATCACTTTTGTAATAGCATTCAGCCACCAGAGGTAACTTGATCGTTCAACCCTGAAGAGCAAATATTATTTCTCTTTCATCACATACAGGCTTGTGATTCAGGGGAATGTGGGAGGGCAGACAGACAAATGCAATAAGAATATATTATTTAAAAAGAAAAAAGAAACAGAAGAGGATCTGTCACAGATTTTTTTCTGTTTCATTTTGCAAAAAGATACTTTCATCATCCTTTTCCCCCCAGAAAAGAAACAGCTGCAGAGTATTTAAAGTAGTCTCATTCAAAACCTAATTACAGTGGAAATAAAGCCAATCTGGATCTCAAATTAAAGGCATTTAGGCAAACCTCTCCAGGAGGAATAAGATTCATCTTAATCTGAAGAATATCTTTAAACTCCTACATTTTCTTCACAAGCTGTATGATGTCAAAAGTTTATATCACCGAGAGCATGTATTGCATAATTAAACAGGAAATAATATATTTTCAGCAATTAGTCATAATGACTTTCTTTTCTTAGCACTCACCAATAATTGTAGGCAAGTCAATTTGTACTTTTATAGTATCTTGATACAATTTACTACAGCTACAAAAGGTCAGCTACAAAATAAACCTTTTATTTTAACACATATCTGGGAGATGAACAGAAAGGATCCAAACATATGGCAGTAAAGCTCTGATAGAAATACATGACTTAAAGAAGGGGAATATAAGGGAGGAACAGTAAAATGAGCGAAGACCAGGCTGAAATGATGAGCTGTAATAAGACCATGAACCCTTCTGAAATCCAAAGGGCAATTTTGACTTGGGTTGAGCAATAGAAAGTAGGTCATGAAAATGATGGAAGAGGAAGCTGATATGACTGCTCCCTGGAGTAAGAAACTAGTCAGCTATCCTGAAATTTAGAAAGAAAAGATTTAGGATGACTGTAAAAGAAAGACCTGCAGTAGACAAGAGAAAGTGTGATTAATGCATGGATAACATTTTGAGCAAAGGTTGAGGAATTTGTTATGAACAAATTCTGTCAACAGTGTTCTGAAACTGATCAATAGCAGACAAGCAGGGTTTGTAGAGGAGACACAATTCCTTTTGTTAGAGCAGATGATTTGTTTGTTGGATATGCAGGTGCAAAAGGAAAGGAACATGCAATGTCAAAAATGAAGCCAAGTTTTCGTACTGCACAAAGAAAGTAAAGATCATACATAAAGATCATAGAAGCACAAGCACTAAAAGTATATCTTAGATGACAGCACACCTGAAACAGTAGTTGCAGAACTATTAAGAGAGAGCCAGGAGGAGAGAAATCCCAGCATTGTGTCACCTGGAATGCTGATGTGCCCTATAAATGCAAACTGCGCTCGGATTTAAGCACCTCTGAGCACCTCAGATCTCTTCCTGCGTAAACATTTTACAGGCTTATGCTTCTCTGCCAGGTTAATTAAGGTTGCAATTGGAATGTCCCAAGGGTAAGGAAAGGAAAGATATCAATATCTCCAGCACAAGAAAACAGAATGTACCAAAAAGCAGGCAGGAATCACAGCAACAACAGAAAGGATGACAGGGAAGGGGAGCAGTGCAAGCTGTCAAAACTAATGAACACTACCTGTGGCAATGCTGCACCAGGCACAATGAGAATGTAAATCATAATTCTCCTTCCTCTCCAATGCTCTCTTCCTTAGCTATTTAAGTTTCTTTTCATTGCCTTCTGGGACAGAACCTCCACATCTAGCTAATCTACTAGCTTTTTCTCATTCTGCACAATGAATATGGGGGCAAGGTAAAAGGAAGCTGACTAATGGGTACTAAGGTATCAAACCTGAAATCACCAGTGGAGCACAACACAGTTGAGATCAAGGGTTTAAAAGAATGAAAACAGAATCCTAGGCAACTACAGCACTATTCACTGTAAAATGCATGTAGTAACCTGATAGTTTTCCCTTATAAAAGAACAGATTATTAACACAAAGGAGATGAAGAATATTTAAAATACCTGTAATTCAGTACAGTACTTGAAATCATGCCACAGGGGAAATTATTTGTTCAACCATAGAGAATAGAGATTAATAGAAGAAAAATAAGATGGTTAAGGAATTAGCTGCAAAGGAGATAGTAATAGTTATAGTAATATACAAGAAAATGGAAAAACTTACTAGTGGATTTTCTCATGATGGATTTTCAAGCTCATCTAAAAGTTTCATTAATGATCTGCTGAGTTATGCTTAGGAAATGTGCATATGACATGAAGTCAGTAATATTTTCAGTAAAGGATCAGGATTTCACACCTGTAAATTGATGACTACTATTTAATATCTAGAATAAAAAAGCCCCCGAAATTAACTAAATGAACTAATATAAAGTGCATAGTAATATATTCCAGGATTAAGAGATGAAATTTCTTCTTTTGTACATGCTTAGTGATTACAAGGTGACTGTGAAACCAAAATACAATACTGTAATGAAAAGAACAAAGGCAGTGTGTGGGCACATCAGTGAGGCACATCCTTCAGCAGGTAATGAGCACTGGGCATACAGCTGGCAGGTCTCATCTGAAAAATATTTTACATTCCTAGACATCCATGGGCAAGAAAGACACATTGAGACTTCAACTGATCGCTAACCCAGTGTCAGTAAAAACAATTCTCATTGGTAGCACATTCTCATTTGCTCCACTGTTTCATCAGTTGTTGAATTTAAGTTCATTAAGATGATTTCAGCATGCAGGGGGGCATAGGCAGTGCATTAGGAAATACAAGACTAATGAAGAAAAGGTCAAGAGGCAGAACCAGCTCCAGCTGACTGCTCAGTGGGGTTCAAAAAAGGGAGAGAAGGCATGTTCACTTATTGTGCAGACATACCTGAGATATGTAACATCCAGGAATCCTTTTGCCTTAGCAAATTTTTTTTTCTCATACATATTTGCAATCCAAACTGTGAGTTTTGAAAGGCAGTTTGGCACTGCTGTGATGCGCTGGGTGCTGCCCAGAACACCCTTTGTAGGCTATAAAATCTGATCTGGGCAGGCTGACACGGGTGAAGGAAAAAAAATATTGAATTGACTGTTTCTTTTTGATGGGTTTTTGTTGAAGAAGAATTGGACTTGACATACTACAGGAAGTTGACTAAGAAACTTAATCTGAAAATATACACTAACGTATGTGGAAATATATTTATTTCCTCTGTGATTAACATGTTCTTTGTCTACCAATAAATTTTCTGCTAGGTTAAAGCAACAAACACAAGGGATTTTAATCTGGGAATTTCAAGTCCTCTGATTCCTATTGAAGATAAATAACAACATAGCAAAAACGGACATGGATTTTGGGAAGAAGTGGATTAAATCTAGATTTGACTAGAAAATTTTCTTTGGGTTAAGGCATGAAAGTGGGAAGTACCAAGGCAAGCTTTTAGTTGTACCTCTAACTCTGTCACAAATTACTTCCATGACCTTGACTAAATCTCTTAAACTCCCTGTGTAATGGTATGATCATCTATATAGAGGTGATACTAAGAGTTACCTGCCTCACAAAGAGGTACAGTTTTAAATCAGTTAATCTGTGATATAATGTGTGTGGATACATTCCTCCAAGAGAAGGCACACTATCATCACTTAAACTAAGCATTGAACAAAAAGGCTACAAAATTAGAAGATTATAACAGAGAAAGATTCTTGACCTGACAGAATTTGTAAAAAGTCAAAAATAAATGTATAAGATGATTATGTTTATCATTATAAACAGAAGCATATGACAAAACCAGAGAAAATATGAACACTGACTACTGCAAAAGACAAACAACTGAGACTTGATTTTTCAGTTCTGTACTTGAAAAACTGTTTAGGATAAAAAACAGGTGTTGTGCAGTTTTGTGTATACAAAAATGTCTTCCACTTCCAATGGTTGTTCCAATAATAATGTGCAATGCTATATAGGAAACAAACTAGAACAAAGTCATTTTGAGTATGCATTTCCATTCAACTGATTTCAAGTCAAGAGAGACAGAGATAGATTATTCTCTGATAATTCTTGAGTTGAAGCATATCTGTGTGAAAAATGGACCACTTGGGTCAAGGCAATGAGCCTGTCTCATTTACAGTCCATTTTTTTCTATAATTCATGAACTGAAGTTCCAGTTTGAATAAAATCTGCCATTTCAACCTGAACTCAGGAAAATGAAATAGCTGTGAAATATGCTTGTCCACAATCTGCAGCAATGACAAAGCTTTGCACAAATACCTACACAGGCAAAGAGCACCTTTTCAATGCCTATGCAAAGCACACACTCACTGCTAAACATTCAGCCCATTGGGTTTCAGGTGTGTTTAGGTTCAATAGAATATAGTATTACATAACTTGGAAATACCTAAAAATTACAAAGAACTTCTCTTATATAGTTACAGCTGTAACAAAAAGTTGCTATAGGTTTATGACTAAGAAAATGATACTGCCTTGATGCATTCCGTAGGTATGTCCTTTATTAATTATGCACCAACAAATTTCTGGTTGTTTTGAATGTGGAAAAAAGATAAGAAGACCTTTGAAAGTTGGAAAGTTCTCATTTTTTAATGGAAAAATATTTTGTATGGTACTTATGTACAAAATCAATCATAATAAATAAATAACAATCAGCCATAGACTATCTGCATGAGCAATTTATAGCAGACTAGGGGAAAAGACATTTGCAACAGTCAGCAGACATTCTGATTTACAGAATTCGATGCTGTTGCATGACAGCACAGATACTGTGTACACAAAAGTGAAAGGGATTGATTTAGAAAGGTTGTTATATAGCAAAAAAGCACACATTCACAGAGAGCAACTGTCAAAAGACAGCACAATTAGAAATGAAGACGAGCATTACAAGAGACATTTATTTAGTCAAAGGTCAGATTACTGTGCACACAAATAGAAGATGCAGTTGTGGATTCATTCAACTGTAAGTTTTACATTAGCGAGAAAAATTCAAGGGTGTGTACTAGACAGAGGCAGAGTAGGACTAGATCAGGAGTTAGGATAGATGAGATCCTGTCAACCCATTCTGAAATATTACCTTGGATTCCTTTTGAATGTATGAAACAGAGGAGCCTATGAAACTGGGTAAATAGACTGTTTGTTCATAACAAACATGTAAAATCTGAGGATATTGCAAACATAAAGATGCCAAAGAAAAAGAAAAAAAGCAGAACATAACACATGGAACTACACACGGAGAAAGCATGGAATGAACAAAATGAAATTCACAAGACAAAGTATAGTGATATTATATAGCAATATTATTTAGCAATTTTATTTATAGGAAAATGTCCCATTCATATCTATTTCATAATGACAGGGAGTCATTGGAAAATTTTCAATATTAAAAAGAATTTTAAATGATAGCAGATAGGAAAATCTAAATTCAAATGTATATCCACTCTATGACCATAGTAGCTCAACTATTTTTGTCCTTGCACCTTGCAGTAACCAGAAAGATGAAACACAAAGATATTGATTCTCAGGGGCACCTAAATGTCATGAAGCACAAACAAGCCACCTTTATATTCAAGTGTATTCTTTCAGTGAATATCATAGTAAATTCCAAGGCTGTAAATCCATACATTCCCTTTCTCTCAAAGCAAGTCACAGGATTCCCAAGCTACCTTCCTGTGGCAGCTTTTCAGAGAGACTGTTGCTATGTCCAGCCTCTCTGCAATACTCCCTGTGCCAAAATAACCCTGAAGTTACTTTACCAGGGTGGAATAGCTGCCCAATGGCTCTCAAACCCACCCACACATACAGCTGAAAGTGAGCAGAGTACTCATTTACTCTGACAGCATCTGGAACAACATTTTTCCAGGTATGATGCATTCTCTTGCACTAAACTGGCTTCAGGCAGGGAGGCCCTTCAGACAGACACACAGATGCCTACCCCAGGACAATACACGTACAGGGCTGAGGGAGCTGCAGAAGCTCACAAAACAAAAACCAAAGAGGCATTTTCATCCTCCTCACGTGGGACTTTGAGATTGTGCTTGGAATGGTCCTGCATGATGATGCCATCTATGAAATGTAAGAAAGACAGACAAAGAAAAGGCAAAATGACTAAAGAATTGAAAGGAGTAAGAGCAGAGGAATAGTTATAAGAACTCGGGCTTGATGTCTAAGCTATTAACAAGATCTTTTCTTTTACCTACATGCATATGAAGAAAAGCTTTTCAAATGGATCAGTTACGGAAGAAACAAAAGATGTTCTCCTCTGTGATGGCAAGATCCATTTGAGTTTAGTCCAGCAGCTGTTTGATCTGCCTGTTATTGAAATGAAACACGGTATGTTCTTTTTATTTCTGCTATCTGGTTTCACCTGAGATTTTTAGCATAAAAGAGGCATTTGTGAGAGAATAATTACCCCAGATTTTAGTAAACTGAGTTAACTAACTTTCTTTTGCAAATGTGTGTTTTCCCTTGTCTGAAACACAGCACTGTTTCCTTTAAATGCTAAGTAACGGCAAAACTACCTATTAGCAGAGTAATACTTTAGATGCCTCTGCAAAGGAAGACCCGAGCTATTTTGCAGCAGGCTTCTGCAGCAACATGATGCAGCACCGCAGGGTGAAGAGGAGCCCATTTTTGGCCTGTATTTCCAGCTCTTGATTTCCGAAAGAAATGCCCATAATAAACAAGGGGACTGAGAAAACCTATTTTCAGCTCTATAGACCAATTGAATATTTAATTAGCAGAACACCTCTCCTCAAGTTAATGTATTAGACTTCAGAGATATCAACAAGATAATGTCTCAGAATCATCCTAATGTGTCCCTCTTTGTGCTCGGATTTTCTGATATTGAGTCTGTACACTTATAGCAAAAAGAAAAACTGGAACAAGAATCTTTCTAAAATTCACCAAAATCCTGCAAAATTATAAGGTTTGGAGAAGAAGCAGTTGTGTAGCTTTTTATTCAGTTCTAGATGGTACTTGCTTATATTCCTAAAAGTTCCTTTGACACAAGACATAAATATTAAATGCGAAGTTTAAAAATATCACTCCCATCCTTTAATACTATATAATTAAAGGGTGTGTAATGAAGAGTATGCTTCTATTATAATGACAGCCTGGCATTTTTTACTATGAGTAAACACTTAAGCATTAATAGATTGGCATGAAAAGCTTCACAACTGTAAGTCAAATTCATGTCCACAGCAATGCTGTTAAGATCATCAGAGTTAAAAGAGCAATGAGCTCGGCCTCATTGTTTGCTCTTTAAGCCCAGGACTGTAATACCATTACCTGTGCTAAATATAATCTGTCATGTAGTGCCCTGGTAGCAGCACACAGGAGTCTCTTTTTAGCATAGCATCATAATAATTGTTCTCAGTAAAAGGGTACTACACTCTGCACAGCTTTTCCATTTAAATATCCTGTGAGATATGCTTCCAAGCAAGTGTTATCAATAGCACTGAGAATTTCCAGCATTTCAATGGACGAAAATAAGTCCTAAGAGCCTGACACAAAAGTATGCTTCATCAATTTGATGAGCAATGGAATATCCATTTGGACCATAGAACTTCCACTTTCAGGCCCACTGCTCACAGAACCTGAAGTCTGTTCAGATTTAGAAAGAAAGTATTAAGAGCAGAAGATTAAAGATTCATGGTTTGGAAAGATAATCTTCTTATGATGTAACAGGTGACATGACAACATACAACCAGCCTGGAAAAGTGCTTTGTTGGGAGTTAAAGAAGGGGAGATTCACCTTCTCCAGGAGCATGCTTTGTTATGAGTGACAAAAAATAAGAATGGTTCATTTGGATTTTCTACAGCTCCTTTTTTCACATTCCATTTCAAAACCAGTTTTATATCCAAAATCTAAAATCCCAACACAGAACCTATTAAGGCTTCCTTTCCCTCATATCCCAGCTAATGCCCCTGCTCAAAAATGACAAAATCACATGCTCTAAGGAAAGTGTGTCATATAAGGCTTCCCTCAATGCTTTTAAGTTGCCACAGATTTTTGTTTCCATAAATTGTCAAACTGAAAAAAAAAAAAAAAAAGAATTCACTCTTTTCTATCAGAACTGCAATATCCAGCCAAAAAGAAAGCCAGATGAATCACTAAAAAAAAATAAACATAGCTTCATTTTAAAGCTGATTTGCTAAGAAAAGTAAAAAGAAAGTTGGGGGAGGTTTATTTTCAACTTCTATGCAATACAGAAAGAGAACCTAAATGGTTTTGAAGTATTTTAGTTTTGTAAATCTTGTCTTTTTTTTGTTTGTTTTGGGGGTTTTTTGTTGCTTTTTGTTTGGTTGTTTTTTTGAGGTTTTTTTTTAAGAAAAAGAATTTATTTAATTTATTTTAATTTATTTAATTATTTAATTACTACACTGTAGCAGCTTTTGTAAATCATCTTCAAGGTGTAACTTTCTTGCATTTGCTATATGAATTGGAAAACATATGAAACAATCTTGGTTTGGCAGTAATGAGATGGAGACCCCTACTCCCTTCTAGAACAAGTACAGCACAATCATTTATGTTGGCAACTTTTCCAATTATTATAATCTCTTCATCATTTGGGTAGAGCAGATGAGTGAAAAGGCTAAGCAGAAGTAGATGTCATTAAAACAAAAGTCAGCATAGAAAGACTGGCTGAGTTTTCAGACGATGAAGATACTTCTAGTTTGTTAGAACTAGCAAAGATGCACCTTGTGTTTGAACTTAATTTATATAAGGGACAAAAGGCCTCAAACCTTGCAAGACCTTTCATTTAGCCTCTCACTGCATTTGCATAAAGGTGTGTTGAGCATGGATTGTCAGACCTTAATGTCATTAGTGTAATAAGGCTTTAGTGCACAAAAGGAAACCCTGCTCTGCCTGCATGCTCACTGACTTTTAAAAACGTGCTTCTACATTTACATAACCAGAGCAGTGCACTCATTTTCTTTTTCTTGCTTAATTTTTGTAGGCTCTTCTTGGATTGTGCTCACTGCAGACAAGGACGGCTTTGTGCCATTAATATTCAAAGCCACACAAGAGATAATCATAAGGGATGGAACTGACAGTTCAGAAGTCTATGGAGCTCACTCCCACAAAAAAAGCATCCCAATGCGACCACCAAGCAGAGTGACATAATTTCTGAACAAAGAACCCCAATGACCTTCTTTTCTCCTACAATACAGGGACATTCTGTGGTTTCAGACACTGAGAGACTAGAAAGCTGTCTCACTACTTCCCATGTATTGTAACTGTAAAATCTGTGGCGTGGTTACACTATAGCTACATCCTCGGGTTGGCTGGACCATCATGATTTCTTCTGAAGGATGGACCTACAGTGAAGTTCACCACAGCTGCTGTTATTAATGGCTGTCATGGACTGGAGTGGAGAGACTATTGTGTACTTTGATTGAGGTCAGGATGTTCTTGGAGGAACAGTATTATGCTAAAAATCATGCAGTAACAACAAATCTAGCTGGTGCAGGTGTACAGTCTACATAAAACCTGAAGAAAATACAGTCAAAGAGCCTTTATATTCATTAAGGAAAACAAGGATAGGAAAAGAAAAAAAAAAAACAAAACCAAAATTGCTTCAGCCTCTTTTCTGTTCCAGCTGGATCCCATGGAAACCTGCAACATTTTCAGAAATACCTAATTTTTATATGAATATGTTCAATTACTAAAAAGGCTGCATCACAGTCTCCTGTCAATGTCTTACACAGCATGTAAGAAGAAAAAGAAAAAAATCTTGCAAGATAAATTGAGGATCAAAGACGTGAATGCAAACTTCATTTGGCTAAATGAAGGTGTATACACTGAACCTTTCATCTACACTCCTGCACTATCAGTCAAAAGAAAAAAAGCACTTCTATATTATTCATGCCCTAACAGATTTTTAAAACTGATTGTGGTAAACTGTCTCTATTAAATAAGTGCCTATTCCTTTCCACTGGCTGCAAACACAAGCAGGGGGACTGGTTTGAACACAGACATTTACATTTAGCCAGGTGAACCTCACTCTCAGAGAGAAGAGACAATACAGATACAGGTAAGAGTCAGGCAGGCAGATCCATGGAAACTAAAGTATCATGATTATGGTGATAGAAATAGGTATAAGGGAAGAACTTATTGAACTCCTTAACTTTTCCTCATTGAAATGCAAAGAGAAAGTAGAGTGTGTACAAGGGCATTTTGTACTGCTGGAGCCATGGAAAGGCATGCCTGCTTCACCCTGTACAGCCAGGAAAACAGACAAGGAAGGACACTTGCTTAAGCTACTATTAGGAGTTATTTTTCATACTGTGCATTTTGGGTCTCTCCTGGGGAGTCTTTTTTCCTTTCCTGGGTACTATGGCAAGCCCATTCATAGGGCACAGATACTAAAATCCAGTTACAATACTTCACCCCATACAAAGGCTGGATCAAGACAGTAGAGCTACACTCTGAAGGACCTTAATGGGTTTGAAGGTTTGGCATTAATACCATTACAATGCAGCCAGGAATCTCTTAAGGAACAATTTCAATTCTTGAAATAAGTAAACAGTTTCAATTCATTGAATTGAAGTGCAAGTATCCTCCCAAGGACAAAGGAACCATCATTCTAAATCATCTACAACCACAGGCATGCAATACAGTGGAGGATATTTGTACTACCTTGTTCGCAAAGATCTCTTTAAGCAGCCTCAAGAAGCATTCCTGATTGTAAAAAAAACAAATCCCAAACAACAAATAAATATGACATTTTAAGCATTAAACACATCAGTTACTTTATAGTTATTGGGTTAATTTGGTTTCCTGATTCTTTGCATTAGAATTGTGTACAAATGGGTATTTGTATTACTACTGCTTAAGAATTTTATTTAAGTCATTCTTTCCTTCACTGAAATCAGCACAAATCACTGAAATCAAATAAGTAACACAGAGGTTCACAGACATAGAATGGGGAGGGAAGACATGATCAGATTTCTAAAAGACATAGCACATTACAAAGCAGCAGATGTTCCTAATCCTGCAAATACCCTTGAATAACATCCTTGTGTCTCATAAGTCTTGGGTATTTACAATGCTTAAGTTACGGCCAAGCAAAACAAAACTTAATTATAACTAACTAGAGTGATGGGAGGATATATTTTAGAGGACTATTTAGGCTCAAATAAAGAAAAAAAAACTGCAATGAAATTCTTCTCACAAATTTATATTTCTATCTTCTGTGGGTGATAATCCCATAGTTTGGTCCACTTGAATTGAAACTAATGAAACACAGAAAATGTTACAGGGGAACTCTAGGAAGGTGAAAACCTGAACTAGCAGAGATCAGCAAGTATCCAGGCATTAAAGATCCCTCAGAACTTATAACCTGACATTTCTTTGTCATTCTGCCATATTACCATTTTAGTTTTTCATGCATTACTCTTCTATAAAACAATCTGAGTGTTGAGGAGATCAGAAATTAAAGGAGATTCTTTGAACAGCTATCAAAATTTGGTTTGGTTCTGTTTGGTGGAGCTAAAAAAGAAAAAAATTCAGGTGAAAAAACAATTAGTTTCAGAGAGTAACTAGCTGTAAAATTAAAAATTTTAATTCTGTGGTGGTTAATGAATTTCTAAATGTGTTATATTTTGGTGACATTGTTTTCCCTGCCGTATGATTCAAAGATTAAGTAGGAGCTATCATCAACCTAAAGGTGCCATCATCACCCAGAACAAATAGTCTGCTAACAAACAACAACTCCAGTTTATCCTGTTGGACACCTAAAATTTTATAGGAAGGCTTTGGAAAAGATTCTATACATCAATTAAAATTGTATAATGTCAAAGAATAGAACTGCTCCCGCATTTATTAATATGCTGTTATGTGCACATGCTTTAAAACAAGTGTTAAAACCACATAGATACACTCAAAAATGGACAACAATTGAACAAATAAAAATTTGTTTTCAGGTAATGATTAAGGAGAGCACCGCAGTGCTGCACTTACCTAATGTCTATCACAGGGCTAAAAAGTTAAAATTGAAAGCAATAAAAGCATTGGAAGGAGTGCTGAAAAGATTCATGCAAAGCAGAGGTTCATTTTAAGCTTTGGTTTGGATGGAGAACAGATGGAGAATCAGTGGAGTAGAGAGATAAAAGACGACTGTTCTATTAAGCACAAGCTGTACCGAAGATATTTGCAAAAACAGTGATAAAGGCATGTAGAGAAAGAGCTCATACTAAACAAGTTGAGCAGAGAGGAGGCTGTGAAAAGGAGAAAACCATAGACTGAGAAGCATTCACCCTCCTCCCCAAATGTTATTTTGCAGGGCCAAAATCGATCAGTTTAGGAAAGGGGAATTGTTCAGATCATCTAAATGTCACGAAGCGCCAACCCCCTTTTTTAACTCCCTCTTTCAGGAATAGAAAGGAGTCACCAGACTAGACAGTCACCAGAAAGGAGATTCACCAGAAAGGACAGTCACCAGAAAGGACAGTCAGCAGACTAGAAAGTCACCAGAAAGGACAGTGTCCTCTAGAAGAATAAGGAGACCACTGGTGTTAAGCTCGTGTCCAGGGTCACCCAGCAGGGAAGTGTGTATTCTGTAATCAAACCAGAGGAAAGCTGGGAAAGACTAGGAGCCTAAATTAGAAGTGGAAGCAGAATGGTGACACTCAGTGCCACACTAGTGGCACTCAGAAGTCTAAGTGGGGTACCAGTTCCTCCAAAACATTTCTCCTGTGGGGAATAAACAACATACCACAAAGTCTAAATTTCCATTTTAATTACTCTGCATCTTTATCCAGCACATTTATATGCATCCCAGTATATTTTTAGGAGTTGCTACAGCTTTACTTAAAAGTGCAGTCAGCTCCAAAGTAAAGTTAAAACTCACCTTACAGTTTCCATAAGTTGCCTGCAAAGCAGGCAGCAGTCTGCTTTCTTCTCATGTTTTTTTTGTATTAGTCCACTTCTTGAGAAAACTCTAACAACAGAAGTTCTGTATTCCACATAGGCTTTTTCTTTTTTGATTTTGAAAATGGTTTCATGAGAACAATAATAAAACAATATACAAATGAAAACTAGCAAAATCAAAGTAATCTGAAATTCTGCTGGCCAATTTATGATGCTGACTTTGCACAATGAAATATTATTTTGTTGTTCTTTATAATAGCTAAAAAGTGAGATATCACAGCAGGAAGTATATAAAGTAGGCCCTGCATTAGCTTCAACTAGTTCTTCTATTTTTCCTTCTATTACTCTAGAATAGTATTTTCTATATTCATGTGAATTTCTTCAATATCTTTTCAATCAACAATATCATCAAGCCTAACTTCCTTTCCCCTGCTTCTCATTTTCCTCTGTATTTCCAAGCTTGGAAAGTGAACTTATTTTTAGCTATTTTTACTTTCAGATTTTCCTGCCTTAACAGAAAACCACAAGCCCTGGACCATTTTCCCACTCAAAATGTAGCTGAAAAGTCCATCTGTCTAACCCAAAAGAGTGCCAATTATTCTGAAATAAATCCTGTCAGATGTTTATCTAACTTGTTCTTAAAAAACCCAACATACAGTACCTGGCAGCACTAACCCATCCTTTAGAGCTGAACTCACCTGACCCGACTTTTAAGCATGTGAAGTTCGGCAAGGTAAATCCCAGGAGTTATGAAATTTCACACATGCAAGTATTACTTTATTTTCCATTGTCACATGCAACTGAAATTAACTTATGTATTAGTAGCTTAATGTTAATAGCAATTTTTATATTTATAGATATGTTAATTAGTCAATGTTATAGCTTCTTTTTTTTTTTTTCAAGAGACTTAGGCAATTTCACAATCTTGATGTTAAATGCAAACTCAGTTTGCTGAGGTTCGGTAGTTCCTGACAATGTTATTATCTAATAACACTAATAAGGAGAGAGCTGGCATTATCCCCCAGCTAATGACATTGATGTACCCCTCATTTGAGTCTCCAAAGTGGGAAGAATCCAGCCCTCTTGTGCAGATACCACGGCATCTTACCAGCCAAGGCAGCACACAGCTAGAAGAGAGTGTCCAAACATCACAGGGTGACACTACAGACAAAACCAAACTGAAACTCTGAGCAAATGGAATCCTTTAGTTCGCTTTAGAGGCAACAGTCACTTCCTTCGAATTAAACACAATA